CAAAGCAGAATGGATAAAACAAAATTACACTCGGAGATAAGCAGCCATACCTTGTCCGGCGTATAGGTAAGTCGAGTGGCGGGATCCTCCTCGCTCCTCGAGGGTTGTCCTTGTTCCCTGTGATGGCGGTCACCCACCTCTCCAGCGTGGCGTCGTCGACTGCCTCTGGATGGACCCGAGTGGTGTCTTCGGTACCGCAGTACAACCACATCGGGTGGCCTCGGTACTGGAGCGGTTGGATGCGCCGCCTAAGGAAGACTTCCAGAAGATCCATGCCCGTCACTCCGTCCCGAACGAGTTGGACCATGCGCTCCACCAACATTTTTACCTCGGCTTTCTCCTCAGGAAGCACCTTCAGAGAAGACGGTCCCGGCGTCGACTCGTCTTGGCAGTAGAACCAAGTCGACTGCCACCCTCTGACCGACTCAGGAAGGGTCATGGCCGGGAAAGTGCTCTTATTCCTCAACTTAATCCCAAGACCCCCGCACATCTGAATAACCTTGGTCCTCTCATCACCCGGACTCGCCATTTTTACCGTCTGCGACCGACAGGTGAATATGTGCTTGAAGAGACCCCAGTGCAGTCGACAACCCAGGAAGTTCTCGCACATGGACACAAAGGCAGCAAGATAGGCGATGGAATTGGGATTGAAATGGTGGAGTTGCGCCCCAAAGAAATTCAGAAACCCACGGAAGAACACACTCGGCGGCAGAGAAAAACCACGATCTACGTGAGTGGCTAAGAGAACGCACTCACCCTCCTGCGGCTGCGGTTGACACTCGGACCCCGGGAGCCTCGCTGACCCGTGGGGGATCAGTCCCTCATTGGCCAGGTCGTCGAGGTCCTTCTCAGTGATGGTCGAGCGGATCCAATCCCCTTGGACCCAACCCTTCGGCAGGCGAGACCTCGACGAAGATCCGCCCCGACTAGACGGTCTCCCCTTTGCTTGCCCCGTCGCCGTCGCCTTCTTTGCGCGCTCTAGAGCCGCCGTCTTCTCCTTCACCATTATCGCCGGCGAAGCGCTCGAGAGGTGGATAAGGCGGAGGTAGGAGCAGGCGCCGTGGGCGGAGGCAGAGAGGGAAGAGAGGAGAATGGGGAGGCACTGTTCAAAAACTCTTCCCCGACGCTTTATATAAGGGCGCTTCCAAGTGGCTGACGAGTGGGTCCGAGCAGATCTGTCACATCCCAAAACAGTCGCACATGTACGATACATGGCGAAAAAGGCGGCGCGGAAATCGAGGCGTCCATGCCTTATCCCGCACGATTGCCGCGGATCGCCCCGCTTCGCGCGCTTCCCAAATTTCAGATCCCGCAAAATTCGCTAACAGCAGATCAATCTGTCAGACGGTATCCTTCCCGCGATCCGTCGCTCGGAAGTTCACCAGAGTTCAAAAGTTCACTCGACAAAAGATAAGAATGGATCAAGGCGACTGAAGTAAAAGTCGACGCCAACGCCGAAAGAAGAATCGCCAATCCAAGATACGACATAATCAAAGTACAGTAAATAAGTCGGAGAAAATCGTCAACTCCTTCCTTACTCGAACCTCGATCCATTCGGGGGCTAATGATGAGGTTATGTACCTAGGGTAGGGTCATGGACCTATCTAGGATACCATACCCAAGGACATCATCATACGAAGCTACCTTCCAGTCGACCAAGAGAAGCTCCACTCGACCAAGGGAGACTCCACTCGACCGGCTAGAAGACACTCAACCTTGAAGACGCACTCGACCATCAGAAGTTCAGGATCTATGCTGTATCCAAACGGTCTGTAATTAAGTAGTCTTAATGGTCATGATGACACTTTATGTAGGGCGTTACCGGTAACGCCCGGCCTTAATGTACTTTAACCCTCCTCTACGTGGGCTGGCTGGGGTCCTGGCGTCCTCTATATAAGCCACCCCCCTCCACTGGTAGAAGGGTTCGCACCCCTGTAACTCATATACACAGAGATCAGTCGATCACCTCCGGGCTCCGAGACGTAGGGCTGTTACTTCCTCCGAGAAGGGTCTGAACTCTCTAAACACCCGTGTGTACAACTACTCCATAGCTAGGACCTTGCATTTCCATACTTACCCCCCATTCTACTGTCAGACTTAGAACCACGACAATGACCTCATAAGGCTGGCCTCTGAGGCCACCGGCACCTCCGGCGTCGTCCAAGCCATCGTTGTCAGATCTGGAGCATGTGGTTGCCGATATGAGCTACGTGAGCGAGGTCTCTCCTCCTTATCATATGGGATCATCACATAGTCATATTGGATATCCCACAACATGGAGTTTGTTTTGGGATTCTCGTTCAAGTACACATCAAGGACATGATCCTTTTGCGTGACCTCTAGCACATAAGGGCGATCCTCCTCCTCTTCCTCGATGATGAGGGCGACCTCCTCCTCCGATTGCTCCTCGTCAAACATCTGCACTTTTTCCTCCAAGGACAGCGCCTAGTCCACCTATGGGGGAACCAACACCCTGAGTGGCACCCTGTTTAGGGAGCTGCCCGGATCCGGAGTCATGCCCCGGCGACCACTTCTTGACATCAGACTTCTTTCGAATTGCGGCGGCCAGGTGTGTTATGGTGTGCGGTGGCTTGTGGATGTGTGGGAGAGGATGAGCTGTGCGGAGGAGGGCCACACATGACTTTCAAAGCCGGAGTAGACTTCCCAGTCACCGCGTCACCTTGAATGTGGTAGACGGGTGGATGGTCTACCGGAGTGAATGTTGTCAAGCTGGAGCGGACGTGGCAGGAGAAGGTTATGGGTGGGCCCAAGGCATTGGAGTCCGACGTGCCGGACGTCCGAACTCCCCAAATCCCCGTCCCCAGTTTACTGCCTGTTTTGGGGATTTCAAACGTTCGGACCAGTCTGGACAAATTTGGTGACCATCGTTGGACGGGTAAAACTGTGCGCACCGTCCGGTTCCGACATTTGCGGGCGATTTGGTGATCCGTGTTGGAGTTGCCCTTACGTGACCGAAGAAAAAAACAAAGACCAAAACACGAGTTCAAGTTTTTTCTATGGAATAATGAAATACGAAAGAGTGGTTTAACTCTTACAGAAAGTGAGAAATTTTGTAACGTAATTAATATGACACAACTATTTCTAACATGAACAAATCATAGACTTATTGTTAACTCTTTTCTTATATATTGAAATAGAATATATTGAAAGCTTGCACATAAATTACACAAAACATGCACTCTTCTGTACCGTCCAAGAACTAGTATAAACTAGTTAATTTAATATAATTTTGGTTTAAGTCGATCACTTACAAAGACAAGTCCTTTTTAAGGTCCTAACATAAAATTAAGTATTGTTACATCCATATGCACAAATATAGGAGAAAATCCAACGGCCAGAAAACTGACTAAACAAGAACACGACTTGGGCTGGAAACATGAACACAAGCAAGTAAAATAAACAGACTCTTTTTTGTGGTTGTCATTTTTTCTTATTATCAATGATATACTCCCTCCTTAGTTTAATTCAGATATTAGGATTTTCTTCAGTCAAACCTTTTTGAGTTTTATCAAGTTTATAAAAAAAATACAACATTTACAATGCCATATCAGTATCATTAGATCCATCATGGAATATGTATTCATATTTTTATTTGGTATTGCATATGTTGATATTTTTTAATATTTATTGGTCAAACTTGATAAAGTTTCACTTAAGTTAAACCCAATATGTAAGGAAAATGACAGAGAGAGTATACTATTTAAAACATAAAAACATATGACAAAGAGAGATGTTCATCTGAGGTAGAATGAATTAAGCACATTTTTATTACCATAAAGCACGAAATAAAATGACGAAATAAAACTTAAAGCATATTATGAAAACAATTTGCACACATGTTATTCATAATTTATATTGTTCTGCAATATGAAAGAACATGCATATAATAGTGCACCTTTCAGATACCAGTATGATTTGCATATACAGGTTAAATGGAACTTGCAATCCTACGTCTATATTATACTCCCTCCGTCCCAAAATTCTTGTCTTATATTTGTTTAGATACAATACAGATGTACCGATACATCCGTATCTAGACAAATATAAGACAAGAATTTTAGGATACATCTGTATCTAGACAAATGTAAGACAAGAATTTTGGGATGCAGGGAGTACTAGTGGAAGAATAATGTCCGAGATTAATCGTCTCTCGACACATCGAAAATAAATTACATCACGTATGTCAGTGGTATCCCACCCCCATCCCCCATCAATGCCCGAGATTATTAATGTATATCTTCATCTCTAGCTGCTGCATAGACGTAGTATGAGGAAGGATGCATCAGTTAGTGCATGCAGACGATGGACAGACCTGAAGGATAGGTAAGGTGAGGCAAGGGCAATCTTACTAAATCAGTGACAATTTTAATGGATGGGAGAGAAAGAAAGAAGGAAAGACAAAAAATACTACTAAACAAAAAGAAGGAAAAGTTGACCAAAAACTAAAATAATTTCAGACAACTTAAAAAAGCACAAACGTTTAGAAAAAGTATAATGTTGTTTCCCTAGTTACCGCATGCGCAATCTACATTTGGTTCATCAACATTTTTTCCCGATAATTTTCACCCCTCATATTAGCAAATCATTTCGGACTGTAAAATACCACAATTTCCGGCATTGATTGGAAACCGGATTTACGATGTGGTGCTCTTCGGTCGAGGAAAGAAAACCTTGGTATATAGTAGTGCTTGGGACTAGGCATGCTGATCTAAAAAAAGTGCCCAAGTTGGGATTTATTCAGGATCAGATGTGATGAAAGTACAAAACAGCAACAATATAAAAAAGCAAAACAACCGACTACACAAGTCGGCATACACAATTTAACAATCATTTATTGTTGGGAGCTACTACCTCCGTACCAAACGATATGACGCGAAAACCTCTTATATTTTGGGATGGAGGTAGTAGTAAAAGATGATCGACATGCATGGTAAACTTCAGAAGCGGTGGTCGACTGGGCGTGTCTGTGTTGGCGCTAGCTAGCACAATTTGGTGTGATGGATCCTGAACATTTCGAGCAGGGCCTCCCTGTTGCCAGCAGTGGTCTCATACGCCTCGATGAGCTCGCTCCCCGTGAAATCCCTGTACTTGGGAGGGTTGGTGTCTCCATCCACCATAACCTGTGCCGGACCTATCCTGCACTCCATATTGGGCCTGATAAGTGTCGCCACTGACATCCTCGCCTTGGCCGAGTTGGTCACCACCCGGTGCTCCACGCTTGTAAGCACCCCGTTGGTCACCATCTACGCAAAAACATGTAGAATTAGCTACCGCACATACGTATACTCTCTTCTTAGACATCAGTAAGATTGATGCGTTGCGACCTCACCTCCAGCTGAAGCCCAAAGTTGACAACAAAGGCGTTGTCTATGGGTTGGACACCGATCCAGCGTCCCTTGTGCTTGACTTGTAAACCACTGACGTCGCCCTGAGACAAGATCGTGAGGATGTAGCGGTCGGAGTGCGGTCGGATGCCCAAAGTGAGGCTCGGGTTGGGGCATGACGGGTAGTAGTTCACGTTCATCATCGTCTCCCCGCCGGTGAGGTCGCCCTCGAAGAATTGATCATCCAAGCCGAGCCCCTCGGCGATCAGCCGGAGGAGCCTTCGCGCCAGGTCCTGCACTTCCACCGCGTACTTGGCAAGACGCTCCCTGCGTACCCATAAACAATGCCGCATTATATAGCTGGGTTATAGATAGTACACGGATGTACTACTCCTAATTTGAAGTTTTGAACTAAAACCGCGACACTTATTTTGGATCGGATGGTGTAACAATTTTCTGTTCTTCCTAGCTTCATCATTATTGACTTTAAATTGTTCATTTACCTAAATATTTCTGGCTCTAATGGCCAATGGTGCATCAGCTTGTCAACCGGGTAGCACCGAAGCTTGAGGCAGTCGCGCCAGTAGCGGATGTCGTTCGTGTCAGTGTGCGACGTGACGGAGCCGGAGAAGACCCGGAATGGATTGTTCGGCTCGTTGGAGTAGTACTTGAGTTTTGCTTCCTCCGGCATCCTGAAGAACTCCGCGGCCGCTTCTCGGAAGCCCTGGATCACGTCTTCCTCCACACCATGGTTCACCACCTGCAAAACGGCATGCATGAATATCAGGAACACCGCAGATTACATGCTTGCATGGCGAAAAGGCAATGAAGCAAAGCAAGGCAACGTCCATTTAATCAGCTAACGTGCCTGGAAGAAGCCAAACTCCTTGCCGGCCTCCATGATCTCACCAATAACCTGTCGGCGGCCATCTCCCATAGCACCCCGGAGGTCGATGACGGGGAGAGCGACCGAGAGGTCGTCCCGTAGCTCGTTGTCGCACGGGCGTTTCTCTGGCGGCAAGACGTACTTGTCCGGCAGGGACTTCGGCGACGGCAAGTCGCAGATGAGCTTCATTGTCTCACTTTTCTTGTTGGCTTCGAGCTGAGTACTGCACTACTTTTTGTGTGTACTCTACTACTCTATCACATGCACTTATACTAGTCTCAGAAGGCCTACCTACCGCAGGCATTCTTTTCTTTTTCAGAGGGCACTATCTATTATTTCCATCTTTTTTTTAATAACGAAGACAGACCGAGAAAGAACAGAGAGAAGGCCTTGTTCTTTGGCATGGAGAAAGCGGGAGAAATAAATAGTTATAGATTTAGTACTTGTACATGTAGATTGTGTAATTTTTCAACCAAGTGACATACTAGTAAAACTTTGGTTGAACGAGAACAGATATGACAGTTTGTCCTCTGCTTTAAATATTGGATAGTTCATAAGAAAATAAAGAAAACAAAATAATTAGCTGCTTTTATAGCTCCCCAAGACATAGTTTGCGAAACAATGATCCGCCTTGCGATATAATTTATTTATGATGGTCTAACCTTTAGTCTCGGTTTGAGACACGAACCGGGACTAAAGGGCATCGCACCCTTTAGTCCCGGTTCGTGTCTCAAACCGGGACTAAAGGTCCCGTCTAAACCGGGACTAAAGGTCCCGTCTAAACCGGGACTAATGCCTTCCCGACGCCTTAGCCGCTCGAACTGGGACTAACACTAGTAGAAAAGAGGGCTTTGGTCCACCCTGGGTTAGCCCATTAGTCCCGGTTCAATCTAGAACCGGGACTAATGGGGGCATTAGTCCCGGTTCGTGCGCCCAGGGGCCACATGGGCCATTTGTCCCGGTTCGTTTGGACCTTTTAGTCCCGGTTGGTGCCACGAACCGGGACTAAAGGGTGCGATGCCCATTAGTACCGGTTCGTGGCACCAACCGGGACTAAAGGTTAGACCTTTAGTCCCGGTTCGAGCCTCCAACCGGTACTAATGGGGTTTGAGGCATTAGTACCGGTTCATGGCACGAACCGGTACTAAAGGTCACATTTTCAAACTCCACCCCCCCGGATCGCCTTTTCAGTTTTAAAAAAAATAAAAGAAAATGATGAAAATGTCAAAAAAATAAAAAAAAAAATTAGTTTCCCATGTGATATGTGGTCTAGTTGTTGAGAAAATTTGCAAATGTGAATTTTTACTTTATTTGCAAAATCTCTCTAGAATTTAGTAAAATGGGCATAACTTTTGCATACTGATTCGGATGAAAAAGTTTTTTATATGAAAAATCATCTACTCAAAAAGTTACATCCAAATTTAACGGGGGGAACCCCGTTAAACATGTTTAGAATCCTCAAAAACCTAACAGAAAAAAAGTTACGGGGCTTTTAAGATCTAGAGTGAAAAAAAATCGAAAAAATTTCAAACTGTGGTCAAACTAATTATTCAAACTGTGGTCAAATAATGGTCAAACTAATTATTCTAGAATATTAGTGTTACTAAATATTTATTTCAGTTATTTTGAATTTTGGTCAAATCTGGTCAAACTATGGTCAAACTGTGGTCAAATCTGGTCAAACTATGGTCAAACAATGGTCAAACTAATTATTCAAGAAATATTAGTGTTACTAAATAATTATTGTTTTTTAAAACAATAGTTTCAAACTCAAATAGTGAAATGCTCACGCAAAATTCCTGAGGGTTAATAGGATTGACATCTTACTATTGTCAGCAAAACAACAAGTGCAGACTTGAAAACGAGGGAGAATAGAACCCGGAAGTTAAGCGTGCTCAGGCTGGGGGAGTGGGAGGATGGGTGACCGTTTGGGAAGTTAGATTATTAGGAATGATGAGGGGTGATTAGAGATTAGAGGATAAATTGAGCAGTGATGAGGGGTGGTGATTAGAGATTAGAGGTTAAAAAAATTCAGAAATTTGAAAATAAAAAAAAATTCAAAAAAAAATCATAAAATTTCCTTTAGTCTCGGTTGGTGTTACCAACCGGGACTAAAGGTGGAGCTCCACGTGGCCGCGACCTTTAGTCCCGGTTCCAGTTTGAACCGGGACTAAAGGGGGGAGGCATTAGTAACGACCCTTTAGTCCCGGTTCAAGAACCGGGACTAAAGGCCTTACGAACCGGGACTGATGCCCCCTTTTCTACTAGTGTAATACTCACATTAGTCCCGGTTCGTGATGCAACCGGGACTAATGTGTATATTGAGTTTGGACGAAAGCCCTGTTTTCTACTAGCGGCCACCTCTATGAAGTTTCAGTCACTTATGTGAAGTTCCAATGAGCTTTAGTTTATTTCGTTTGTTTTATATTTGTTGCAGTTGCACCTTTTTGTGAAATTGCACTTTTCGTGTAACTTTAGCTTTGTTTCTTAGTGTAATTCCATTTCCACCTTTTATTTTTTTCTTGTAGTTGTACCTTTTTGTGCAATTACACTTTGTTTTGGTACACTTGCACCTATGATTGTGCAACTATATTTTTGTTTGTGTAGTTAAAGTTTATCAGTGGGAACAGAAGCTGATTGAAAAATTGGAAGTTTCACTCACCTGCACTCTAAACACTCCTTGATTAAATAGACTCGCGATCCTATAAACTAGTTATTGTGGTGTACACATCAAACTATTTATATGATACATGACCGTGATAAAATTAAGGGTTAATTCGGTTGAGGGATGCATGCCCACTAAATTTAGGTACGAAACTCATGGCACTTGTGTGGTAGCTTGGGTATTAGTTCTTTGGAGTGAACTCACGGTATTCACAATAGTGCTACAGAAACACATCCATGAATGTGTAGTTTTTATAAGTGGGATGTACAATGGACCCACTGTGCGGTATTACTACAAATAAACATCCACGAGCATGTACTTGCTTAAAATTGGGATATACCATGGACCCACTGCGCTGTGATAGTACGGATTATGGAACTGAAAAACATATGAATCGATTTCCCTCTCAATCAATTCAAGTAATATTATGTTGTCTTGTTAATGAGTTTTAATCACCTTCTGTTCAGTTTCATTCACTTCCATGATTTTTTTATGTTTTGTGATCATTCATAATTATATGAAACTGTTGTAAGTTTGGGATCATTCACAATTATATGAAAGCTTAGCCACTTATGTGGAGTTTATGTCACCTCTTTTGCTAACTTTGTATTTGTTGCATGTGCACATTTTTATGCAACTCACTCTTATTTTGTGTAACTACACTTCACACATCACTCCTCGCGAAAACATCTCACATTTTTTGAACAAGGAGAACCTACCCTGGGTTAACTTAATTTGGAAAAGTCACACTCTTCCCCGCCACTAGACATATTAGAGGGATCTTTTTGGTGGAATTCTTATCTCAGGATTCTACCCATTTTCATGCAGTACTCCTCTTGCATAATTAACTCACCCAACTCAATTCATCTATGGGTAGATAAATGGACTGATAGTCCACTTCAAAAAAAGTACCCTGAGTTGCACTCTTCTGCTAAAAGCAATGCAATTTCCTTCAAATATTTTGCAAAATCCCATGATCATACAAAGAACTTCCATCTACCACTTTGGACACAAGCTCATGAACAATTGATGGCTCTACTTGGAGATCTTCCCTGTCTGAATCCTCAAGAAAAAGATAGATGGCTCTGCAATGGACAAATAGGGAAGTATTCTTCCATAAAGATGTACAAATAACTGCTTACAAACTTGGAAGAGTGAGCGATATTCAAGCACATTTGGAGCAGTGCAAGCAGGTGAAAATACAAATTTATCTTCTGGCTGGTAGCACATGAAAGATTTAACACAAGATCCATGCTTCAAAGGAAAGGGATGCGGTTAGATGACCCCCTTTGCCCCTCTTGCATCCAAGAATGTGAAGAATCGCTTATGCACACGTTGTGGGACTGCACATATGCCTAGAACTACATGCAAACATTGATTCAAAAAAGGCAAAGAGGCACTTCAGCCTATGAAGACACTATGTTGGCTGCCAGCAACTTCCGTAAACCTTTCGCCATAGAGATTGTAACATTGGGATGCTGGAATATCTCGATCCAAACAAATGGAAAGGTATTCATGAAAATTCAACAAACCATCCAGAACCGAAGATTTGCCATGAAAAAATGACCTTCAACTGCTCAAATTCAAGATCATAGACAAGCATTTCACCTCATTTCAGCAGTGGATAAAAGAAAACTTTTAATGTAATGACCATGTTCCCAAAAGTTGGCATTGGTGAATTCCTACAAACCTTTGTGTAGTTTTGTCTTAGTTTTTTTTCTCCTTAACCTCTGTAACATACTATTTTTGTTTTCCTTATAATGAATATCATACCATAGAACAATTGTTCTATGGTTGAAGATTAAAAACCGCACTTCATGTTGTGTGCAATTGCACCTTCCTCATTCCACTTACCATTTTTTCTTTTTGTGTTGCAAGTGATTTTTCGTTAACTATATTTTTATATTTGGCACAATTGCACTTCTTATGCAATTACAATATTGTGTTCATGTACTTGCTATTAGTCGGGCACAAAAAATGATTGAACCTTGAAATGTGTTTGTTCACTTGCGCTCTAGACACTCCCTCATTAAATGGACATGTAATCTGTGAGAATGGTCCAGGTGGCATATGGTCCAGCCACACCCATGGCATATGGATTTTCAACATTCGGTACAACATAAGTATTAATAATAGTATACAAGTAGAAACGACTATTTTCTGCTGGGTATCATGTTGATTTTCTGCGTATATATTAGTTAGCCTAGACCTATTTGACAAGAGCTTACAACGGCTGCTAGCAGGTGGCACATGACGATTGCACAGTAAAACCAAGGCACTGTTTAATGTAACATTTTATCTGGTAGGTATATTTAAGATCATCAGTTTCATCTGCACATAACCACACAAGCACATTGTTTCTTTTTGTTCCTCTTTACTGGACCTATTGGTGTTTATCTTCCTCTGAAACCAAAGCCATGATGTCCCAAAGCTTTTCAAACTCGTGCTTGCACTTGCTGGCCACCACAACCTTCGTCATTGGCAATGAGGACCACTGGGTCGAGGAATTATACGTCCATTTTGC